GCTTGCTTTCTCACTTCTCTCTCTCCACCCCCCTTTTCCTGGTGAGTATATATGATCTATTGCAAACATTTTTAAAAAGTAATTATTAAAAATCCATGGGCCAACCAGTAATATAGTTAGGGCAGCTGGATCCCACATGGCAGATAGTTCTGAGTCCCAGACCCAGTGGTTTGAAAAACATACTTGGCACTTGTACATGTGTGTCCAAGATCCTGAAAGGATGGAAAAATGGAATAGGGATTGTGGCATAAGCATTCCCATGAGATGTTTTCTCTATCTCTGGTGAGTGCATGTGCTCTCTGGCAAAAATTTATAAAAGGGAATGGGGCTTAGGCTGAAAACACATAAAGTAATGATGACCCAACAAAAATGAATTATTTAGAATAATCCATTTAATAGGGGAAGAAAAATACCAATTGAATATACTTATAAAAGCATTAATGCTTAAGTCACCTTGAAAATTTATTTATATAGAATACTGGAATCTGACAACGTCAGATAAGTGAAGCATTCTGTGGGTATTCTCAAAATCAAGTATAGAAAGAACACAAAGGAAAATGTTCCTTTTTTTGAAATGTTAAAGTCCTGTACTGTATAAATTATTCAGGTACTGTATAATTTACTAATACAGGGCCCAGGAGGTGGTGTGGTGGTTAAGGCGTTGGACTCCCACATAGCCAACCATGGTTCAAGTCCCAGACCTGGAGGCTTTCTTGCCTTTTTTTTTTTTCCTAGAGTGTTTTTGCCTTAGGGTGTGTGCACTTGCCAGAGAGACAGTTAGAGGGAAAGTGAGAAATCAGTCCTCGGAGAATGCTCAGGCCACAATCCATTCTCCTTGGATCTTGGGCAAGCACACACATGCCTGGTGAGTTTCAAGACACTGGGCTTGGAATTCGAACCTTGTTTGGGATGTGAGAATTCACAGATGTCACTACTATGTCATCTACTGGCCCCAGCTCACTTTCTCACTCTCTCTCTGGTCAAATAAAAAAAAAAAAAAAAAAAAAAACAATAAAATGAATTCTTAAAGGTTTAAGTAAAGTTATTAATACATTAAAATTCATTACTTTTGGGACCAGTCACTGGTGTAATGGTTATATCACTGGACTCCCACATAGTCAACCGTGGTTTGAGTCCCAGATCCAATGACTTACAAACTCACACCCGGCGTGTGTGTGTGTGCATGTCCAGAATCCTGAGAGGAGAATGGAGGAGAAAGGATGGCAGCATGGCCATTCACCCTGGGGGATGATTTCTTGCTCTCTATCTCTGTCTCTGTCTCTGGCGAGCGCATGCACCCTATAACAAAAATCTCAACAAAAATTCATTGCTTTCACTAACTTCTAACTAAAATTCACATTTCCTTTAATATGAAATAAAGGAAAAGATTCAAACCTATCTTTGTAAAAGCATGCATGTACATTGTAATTACGTTAACAGCTTTATACTTTGATTTGTTTCTCAAGATAATTCATCTAGAGTTTAATTTGTTTTGTTTTTTAGGGCATGTGCTCTTTTATTTTTAAATCTGCCAGAGTGCTTCTCCTCAACAGAAGAGAGAAAAGGATAAAAGAGGAGCCATGGTGAATGGCTATGCCACCATCCCTTTTCCATTTCTTCCTCCTTTAGAGATTTTTGGGCAAGCTCACACATGTTTGTAATGGTTACATCTCTGAATTCCCATGCGGCTGACTGTAGTTCGAGTCCCAGACCCGATGACTTAAAACATGCCCGGCATTGTGTGTGTGCATGCCCAAAATCCCAAGAAGAGAATGGAGGATGAGGGATTGCTGCGTGGCCGTCTACCCTGGGGGGTGATTTCTCACTTTCTGTCTGTCTCTGTCTGACAAGGGCATGTACCTACATATAGCAAAAATCTCTCTGTAAAAAGGGCTGCCCTGTGGTGTGGTTAAGACATTGGACTTCCACATGGTCGACTGTGGTTTGAGTCCTAGACCTGGTGGCTTGCTTTCTCACTGTCCCTCTTCCCTCTCTCTCTGTCTCTCTCTGGTCAAACTAAAAAGTAATAATAAAATTTAATGATTTTTTTTTTTTTTTGGAGAGATTTTCACTGTAGGGCGCGTGTGCTCGCCAGACAGAGAGAGACATAGAGACAGAAATCGAGAAATCACCCCCCAGGGGGGATGGTCACGCCACAATCCCTTTTCCTCCATTCT